TTATGGTTTAATTAAATGTGCAATAAATAATGGTTATTTAACAATAACATCGGTCTGGGTCAATATTTTTTGTCTTGCAGGGAATCATTTTGTTCGTCTTGAAAAGACGAACAAAAATGATGTTAACTTTTTTTCTGTAAAGTCAACCAGACAAAAGTTATGAACGAAAAACGTGAAATTTTACGAAAATCGTACCTTTCATGGCTTATAAACAAAATCGAGGTCAAATTTGACTCTACGGATAAGTCACATTTTACTATATACCATTTTTACTACCTTCTCACAAAAAATCAGCCTGGCCCAAGAATTATACCCGCAAATCCCTCTTTTTCCTGGACTATTTTGGCTTTATTTTTTAGTTTAAAATAGTTTATTATTTTGAAATTGGTTTTTTGTGTACATTTATAATTATTCCTTAAACTCATCATTATTGGGTAGTGATCATTGAAGGGTACGTTGAAGACGTAAGTTTTATATTTGACTTTTTCTAGCCTAACATAGAAATTATCTATACATGTACCTTTGTTAATATCAATATTGGATGGTCTCGTTATGGTATGTAGTCCAGGGCAATATCCATTTTCTAGCAGTACTTGTAAAAAATCTTGATCTAGTATTTCTTCACTCAATATATCAAAATTAAAGTCTCCCATTAAAATATTATTTTATATTTTTTGTTTATTTTCAATAATTCTTTGAGATTCAATAGGAATTCAGATTTAGATAAATCATGAGATCTGTAAATTGCAGACAGCACCAAATTTTTGTTGTTTTCTAGTGTAATATTAGAGTTAATTATTTTTAATTTATCTATTTCAAGAATTTCTGTAATTTCGGTCATTTCTTCTTTCATATACAAAACAACTCCATCTGATTTGTTTATTTTACTTTCATTGTAATATATTTTATAGTTTGGAATATTGAACATTTCATGATTGTCTAAATTCCATGTTTCTGTGCTTACTATTATACATGGTTTTTTTTCGAGGTTCTTCAGAAATACTAGTAATTTATTGTAATTTTTTTTAGGCTTCTGATGTTTATACAAAGAATGATATTATTTTCTTTACATATATATTTGTTTAGATCATCAATATTATCTGTTTTATGTTCATTTTCAAATATAATATCATATAAGCTGTTATCCATATTGTAATATTGCAGAAAACTATTTAGTATTCCTGGTTTTATTATCTGTTGGACTTGGAGTAGATAATGATGATAACGATAAACTGTTATTTATTCTCGGACGGTTATATATCTTGCGGGTGTTTGTTTCAAAGTTTATTCTACCAAAATATCTTTGATGAGTTGGTTGAATTGGATAATCTGTCATTTCAATATACCTTTTTATTTTCATTTTTAAAACTTCACATATTTCGCTGTCGATTGCACTATGGTTTACGTTGTAGTTTTTACTATATGTTTCATTGTGGAAAATGCAGTTTGGACATTGGAGTATGCTGCTACTACACATTTTTGCTTGGTGCTTGCCAGCACATTTATAACACGTTGGCTCTTTTTTTGCTTTTTCACACTTTCCGCCGCCGTGGCCAAAACCTGAGCAGTTGTAACACGGATATGTGTTGATGACGTCAAAGACTCTGCAGTTTTTACATCCAATAAATAATTTGTTACTATTGTTTTTTATATGTTTATATAGAATAGATGGAACTTCTATTATTGCAGTTACTGTTTTATTTTTTTCATTTGTAAATACATGATTTACTTTGCATTTTTCTTCGTATTGACTCAAATTTCTTGCATTAATATCAGTTTCTATATCTTTTACATTTGTTGTGAAAGCTTTAGAAATTTCTACTACTTTAACTATCGGTTTACATATTTCTTGTTTTAGAACAGTAAGTGCCGGTAATTTTTTTTGTAAAGTTTTTTCTAACACTGTGACATTTTCTTCGGTCATGCAGTTGATAATTATTGTGTCAGTATTTTTAACTTGTACACTTTTTGTTTGTATGTTTTTGTCTTTAATTAAGTAATGTGCTACTTGATTTTCTAAGTTTATGTTATCATTACTCTTTTTCTTTATTATTAATCTTGGTATTCTTTTGGGTTTAGGTTTTGGTAGTGCAATTGTTTCAGCATATGTTTTTCTCATAATGTTAGTATTTGCATTTTTATTTTGTTTTTCTTTAATTAGTAGTTCATTGAGCAATTCATTTTTTTCTTTTGTTTCTTTGTATAGTTCTTTCAATAGGTTATTTTCGGCTTTTAATTGTTGTAATTCATCCAAATCATTGATCTGTGTTACATCCATATGATCATCTTTTTCATTTAAAATTTGCGTTTCATGCACAAGCTCATTTAATATTTCCTGTTTTATTTGTTCTCTACTTACAAGTTTGAATTGTGTTATGAAAGCACTAGCTTGTTCACTTAAGTCCCCATATGGCAAGTTTGATGTTAGTGCCAAATTTGAATGCTCCTGGCATATTATGAATGAGCTGTTTATTAGTTTGATTGCATTTCCTGCATTGATTTTTGCTACTATTTCACTCGTATGATAGAAATTTTCACATACTAAACACACAACTGCTCCTACTTTTGTATTTGGATGACACTTGAAATGCTTATGTAGCGATGATGCGTCAGGCGGTTGCACTTCCGCACCGCTTGACGGCGACATCGCGACTGATATAGGGGTTAAATTTATTATTTTCTTCATCTATGCACAGGGATGATCGGGCAAGGGTAAGATTAATTGTAATAACCCAATAACTTGCTGGTAATATCTTGCCCTCCCCCTAATCCAAGAACTGGACGGTAATATCTTGCTGAAGCACGATATCGCCCTTGACCGTCAAAATTACCCAGGGAGGCTTCGGTACCCAAACTACGTGAGAATCCAAATCATTAAACGAAGAGAGAGACGTCGACCACGATTACGCAGAAATCATCTTTGCATTATGAGATAGAACAATGATGATCCACGAATTCTCGTTGTTTTGGCAATGGTTGATTTGGATCATCATATTTCTTTGCGTGAAATTTAGAGACCTACTGGAATCCCAAGAACAACAGCCGGTAAAATTTTTCAGCTTCATAGATTTCATCCGTATCACATAACTTTGACTCAAGCTTGATGCCAGATGATCTCCGCCGCTGACTCGGATTCTGTAATTGAACACAAGCAAGGATTCGTGAAGATCCTGAATTTTTCAGATACGAAATGTTTTCGGACGAAGCTACATTTCATAGTAATGGGCAACTCAATCGCCATAATAGTCATTATTGGGGGATCTTTGATAATAGTCTAAATTCAGCATTGGAAGTCCATGTGGATGTGGATAAGGATAAGTTTCTCTTGGATGTAAGGACATATTTGTGTTCACAAGGCACTTGTACACTTCATCACAATCGTTCTCATCGTCGAATGTCTGAATATAACATGAAAAAAATTAAAGTATCAGATAACTACAGAAAAATAATAGAAACAATTGCAAATGTGATTAACATAGCATGGAACTCACAACGGTTAACTATTAATACCAAAACAAAAAACGGACTCAAAGAGGGAAAAAGAAACGAAACTTACATTCTAACAAAAACAGATACAACCAACATAAATTTCATTAATAAATGTGAATACTGCACATGCAAACAATTAATTGGTAAAAAACATATACATTTCATAAAAGAAGAAAACAAAGAAGATCACAAAGAACCAAATACAGATAAAATAAGATATAAACCCATAGAAACAGTATTTAAACAAATAGATGACATTGCCGACAACAATAGTATGCAAATAGAAACAAGTAAACCAAAAAATACACCAGGAAAACCGATTCTACAAACAAATAATATTCGAATGACCTATGGAGACATCAATTATCTTGGAAACAATAAAGCATTATTATACTTTTATAGAGGTATCAGAGGATATCAAACTTTCACTAATTCATTGTACTCACTGGAACAACAACCTAAATATAAAGATTTGATAGTCTTAGATGATATAGTATTCACAGCAACATTTAAATGTGATTCACATAGACAGCATACTGAAATGTTCCCTCACTATAGAGTCACGTGTGCTACAGGACTTACTTGTCCTGTTAGACTAAATACATACGAAAGAATATCATACGCAAGAAAAATGAAAGCATCAATGACGACAATCGTAACGGCCAGACAAATGTTAATCAGATATTGGAGATAGAAGAACAAAATCGAAGATATTGGTGAAGTAAGCTTTTATAGGAAGCATTCTTGCTACCAATATTAAGCCATACCTCATCTGTGAAATAGTATGATCTATTATACAAATCGACTCTTAGTTTTAAGTTTTTTGTTTTTTTTTCTTAATTTTCTTTAAGTGTTTAGTAGTTTTGAAATACCAGACCAGCGAACAGGTTTATCCTCTGCCGGGTTACAAATTTGTAATGTAAAATTGTATAATTATTACTACTTGTTGTAATATTTTGTACTATACTCTGGTTAATAATAATAATAATAATAATAATAATAATATGATCTTACGCGGGGGGAGGGGGGGGGTGGTTAACCGCACCCCACAGGTAATACCTTATCTGAATGAAGAATTTCTCGCTCTTTCCGCATCCGGGATCAAAATTATAGGTTCCTATTCAAAAAATGACTTTGACCTTCAAATGACCTTGAAAATAAATCTCAAGATCAAATCTGCTTTCTGGGAAACGTGTCCCTCATTGTCCCAAACAACTATTGTCTAAACAATTTTTTTGTAGAACGTCAACCGTAGAAAATTTCGGGTGGTTCTATTAAAATGGGACACCCTGTATAATATACTATATTTCCAACAATATTATTATTTGAGACTGTTGCTTATGCACTTAGTTTTATTAATTTAGCATTTTATAAGTACATGTTTTCGAAAAAGGATAGCAGTAATAATGGATTGATTAAGTGCAAGACGAGGGCCTCATTTTTTATTTAAATAGTTTTACTTTAACCATTTAAACCATTTATCGATAATAATATTTCTTTTATATAAACAGATCGGGCCAAGCCTTGGTATCACTGCAGGTGATGACCTTTGGATAGCAAGGTTTATTCTTTTTAGAATTGCTGAGGAATATGGTGTAGTAGTTAGTCTTGATCCAAAACCTATTAATGGCAGCTGGAATGGAGCCGGAGCTCATACTAATTTCTCAACTAAGACAATGCGTAATGACAATGGTTTAGACGAAATTAAACGTGCCATCAATAAAATGGAAAAACGACATGAGGATCATATTCGCGCCTATGATCCAAACCAAGGAAGAGATAATGAACGTCGTCTGACTGGCAAATGTGAGACAAGTAGCATCCATAACTTTAGCTCTGGAGTAGCCAATAGAACAGTGAGTATCCGTATTCCACGTAGTGTAGCGGATGAGAAAAAAGGATATCTTGAAGATCGAAGACCCAGTAGTAATTGCGATCCTTATTCTGTTACTAACGCTCTGGTCCGTACATGTATTCTTAATGAATAAATACATCTAAATATAATTAATTTTATATATTAATTTTATTTATTTGTTCTATAGTAATATACAATTATTTTATATAGTAATATTCTACAATAGATAACAGTTTTTAAATTTTGTTAAGGCTATAAAAGTAGTGATCGATAATTTGAAAAATTTCATTCATAGAACTTGTGTACATTTCAAATACATATTTGTATATATTTTTTTAAATTTCATAAACTAAAAGGAAAATTAAACGAATTTCGCTCCTCAATTTATAAACAAAATTACTTATATACGCGGTTTAAATCTCTGTAATATTATGTGTAACTGGCCCTTGATAACGTAGGCAAATAGTACACTCGCGGTCAAAACTTTTTTTCCCACCCAAACACAAAATTACTAAAATTTCTAAGCTTTATATCTAAGATGGAAATCAATTTATAGAGTTCAGTGAGAGGTCATTTAAAAGGTTTTTCCTAATTCTTCCAAAATATCTATGCAACAATTATCTGAAATAATTTTCTTTTACTCCTATCATAAATAAGAAATTTTTTTTTTTCAAAAATGCTCATCTTCAAGTACTTGCCGCTTTGCGAAAAAATAGTAGCAAAATTCTGAAAAAAACATTTCGTAGCTTTTTTAAAGTACTTTCGAAGTTACTGCTGCAAAATTCTGTTTTGTTCAATTTGAGCGATTTTATAAGCATTTTCTTCCAAAACAACGTTCAATTTCGTCTCTCCGTATCTTTGAATATTCAAATGATACAAACATGTTTATTGGACAAAAAATACTTCATTTTAAACAGAAATAACACAGAAATTCTTTAAAAATTAAAAAAAAAAATTTCGCTTTATTTTTATTTAAGTTCATTAAATGAAAAGAAGAATGTTTGATTGTATATAAAAGTTTCTGAAAAAATGTCTACGTATTCATTATTCAAAATAATCATTGCTTGTAGATATTTTTTTTCTATAATTCAAATTTTCAATATATAAATATAAGCATCCTTGAAGAATGTTATTAAAATAAACAAGTTGAAAAAAATACATTCATAAATTAGTGCAAAATTTTCCATGATCCTGTACAATATTCATCTACAAAAGCTGATCTTCGAAAAAATTTGAGATTTGCAAGCCGTTTTCACATTATTCACATTATTATTTATTATATTCACGTAAACTAACGTTATCTATTAAGGCTTGTAACTATCACTTTAGAATGTAATAAAATAAACTAACAATTGGCTAAACGTTACGAAGCTATCGCATTACACAAAAGTGGTAAAAGTATTCACGACATTTCAAGAATTTTGAATATTTCATGACGTAGTGTAGACTACCATGTAAAAAATTCAAAACTACTGGTAGTTTTGAAACAAAAACCGCGCAGATCAAGGAAAACCGCAAAATCTAACGATAAAGACATTGAAAATTTAAGTTTAGTCATCGAGAGAGAAAGAGAGAGAGAGAGAGAGACAAAGAGTGTTGCTATAGTACAACTATAGTGCGGCTAGGCGCGTAATACTGGCCACGCTTGGCGGTGCCGCGTGCCACCGATTAGGCAAGTGAGTGGGTAGGGTGTGAGAAGCAGTCTCTCACGCACTATTGCGTCGCTTCTCGCGAGCATTAAGAAAATGACCCTGCAAGCGAGAGCATACCAGCTAATGCACTAGAAAAGTATCCTCGAGAGCGGCCCTTTGTCCACCAGTCACGCCATATCGAAGGAAGTCACCGACCGGCAGAGAGATGATCAACTCGCCAGCCAGAGGACTTCGCCAATTAACAGGTCATACTCTCTCCTCTCGTTTCTCTTCCTTAATCGGTTTTAACCCTTTTTGGCTATTCGCGACTTGTGCGCTGTACCAGGCTCTCGCGGGCCGCCACAGCTGAATTAGTGATTAAGTTTTCTTTCTTTATTGTGTATCGAGTAGGTTGTGAGATGGCAAGGCGCTAATGTGCCGGTCATCTCATTTAGTGACAAGAAGTTATTGTGTATTTGGTTAAGGTTTGATAGATTGTTTTATTCGACATCGCTCAAGGTAGCGATTTTATAATAAAAGTATTTGGTTGGTAAAAGGTTTGAATGTTTATTGCGATCGCCTTTCCTCTTCTGCCTTGCTGGGAGCGATACAACACCTCCCTTACCTCCCCCTTAAAGAATTTGGTGATAGTGGAAAAGGATTATCGGCCAAGGACGGCTGACGCAATTACATTGGAAACAGCCAAAAGTCACAAGGGGCTATGTCGGGACTGTATGGAGATTGTCGAAGCAATGCGATATTGTGTTTGCTCAACAACTGCTTCACTAGATTGGATGAATGCGCTGGCGCATTATCGTGATGGAGAAGCCAGTCACCACTTTCCTTAAAGTGCGGATGTTTTCTTCTTACTGCATCACGCAAACGTTTCATAATTTGAACGTAGTATTCTTTATTGATTGTCTGACCTGTTGGTGCATATTCGTGATGTATAACACCTTCACAATCAAAAAAAACAATCAACATTGACTTAACATTGCTCCAACTTTGACGTGCTTTTTTTGGTCTTGGCAATTCAAAATGCTTCCACTTTGAAGATTGTTGTTTTGTTTCAGGATCATAACCATAAACCTATGATTCATCACCTGTAATAACTTTTCTAATCACATTATCATCATTATTGACCAATTCCAGATTGTCCAGAGCGATTTCTAAGCGAATGTTCTTCTGCTCTGCTGTGAGCAATTTTGGGATGAATTTCGCACACACGCGTTTCATTCCTAAATTTTTGGTTAAAATTTCTGAAATCATAGTTTTTGGTATCCCAAGGTCTTCTTCTAGTTCTCGCACAGTCATACAACGATCTTCTTCGATTGCAAGTCGCACCCGATCAATATTATCTGCGGTTTTTGTCGTCGAAGGTCGGCCGGAATGAGAATCACTATCAACAGAAGTGCGACCATCCTTGAACCATTTATACCACTCTTTTATTCGTGTTTTGCTCATACACTCGCTTCAGAAGGCGTTTGCATTATTTTAATAATTTCCGAACTCGTGTTTCCAAGTTGAAAGCAAAATTTGATGCAAATTCGTTGATCTTGTTTTTCAGTCATTTTTGACAATATCAAAATCCGACAAACGCGAAAAAGGTACTGTAAACAAAGACACGCTGCGCATGAACTATACGTCCGGCAGGTATCAGTAAATAACCAATAGATTCGTGAGGCTTTACTGTTGACGTTTCTGTGCGGTAGAGGTCACTCGAACACTATGGCGCGAAGATATAAACGTAGGCCCGATACTTTCCGGACAGACCTCGTTTATCGCAAAAAACTTCTCAGAAGTGCAATAAGAAACTGTTGCTTAATTTTCGGTATATAAATATTAATTTATAATATACGAGGTGTGTTCAAAAAGTCAGGTGACTTTTCAAATTTCACGGGCAACGTACTTTCGATTATCAATTTTTTGGTTTGTTATGTTGCTACACTCTTCCCGAACATCTGTACCAAGTTTCAAGTGTATAGCAGTTTTTGTTTGGTTGTGAGAGGCGTAAAGGTTATAAGTGTTTTGCGTCCTCGGCGATTTCTTGCTATCGAAAAATATGGATCAAAGGATTTGCATCAAATTTTGTGTAAAAAATAAAATAAAGTGCTCCGAAACACTTGAAATGTTGACGGTGGCATACGATGAAACTGTTCTGAGTAAAAAAAATATTTACAAGTGGTATAAACTCTTCCAAGATGGGTGGGAAGATGCCAATGACGAGCCTCGCTCTGGACGCCCAAGCACGTCAACAACTGATGAAAACGTTCAAGCAGTGAAGAAAATTGTTCTGGAAAATCGTCGAATCACTATCAGAGAAGTTGCTGAGGATGTTGGTATATCGCTTGGCTCGTGCTATGAAATTTTTTCTAACGTTTTGGCATAAGACGTGTGTCAGCGAAGTTTGTTCCGAAATTGCTAAATTTTGACCAAAAGAACCGTCGCATGAGCATCGCTCAAGAACTGTTGAATGACGTCAACGACGACCCAGATTTACTCAAAAGGGTCATAACTGGTGACGAATCATGGATATATGGTTATGATATCGAAACCAAAAACCAATCGTCCCAATAGAAGAGCCCAGATGAGCCATGACCGAAAAAAGCACGCCAAGTTCGATCAAATGTCAAAGTTTTGATCACTGTTTTCTTCGATTACCATGGCGTGGTGCATCAGGAGTTCTTACCATTTGGACGTATGGTCAATAAACAGTATTATCTTGAAGTTATGCGCCGTTTGCGAGAAGTAATACGAAGAAAACACCCAGAATTGTGGAAAAACAATTCATGGCTTTTGCATCACGATAATGCCCCTACTCACTTATCTTTGCTTGTGAGAGATTTTTTGGCCAAAAACAGAACCACAATCATGCCTCAGCCATCATATTCACCGGATTTGGCATCATGTGACTTTTTCTTATTCCCAAAACTAAAGAGACCTATGAAAGGACGGAGATTTGCAACGATTAAAGAGATAAAGACTGCATCGCTGGAAAAGCTCAAGGCTATACCGATAAGTGCTTATGAGAAGTGCTTTGAGGATTGGAAAAACCGTTGGCATAAGTGTATTGTATCTGAGGGGGGTTACTTTGAAGGGGACAACATAAATATTGATAAATAAATAAATATTTTTTCTTAAAAATACAAAGTCACCTTACTTTTTGAACACACCTCGTAAGCTAATTAAAAAACAATAACCGAGTACAACTATTGAAAATTCTTAATGACGGACGTGACGACTCTGAAATGACATGGCAGAAGCATTGGAATACCAAACATAATAAATTAAACCAAAGATTTACATGACCGTCGATAATCACAATCCCGCAATCCCATAAATTTATTACATAGCTTCGAGGATATCATAACCTCAAAACCTTGGATGCCACAAAGCTTAAGCCTGTTATAAAAAACACACAATAACAACCCCATAAGACCTGGGATCTAATCTCAATAACTCTAAGTACTGCGAATCTTAAAACCACGACAGGTTAACCTTGAAACTCCAACCCCAAGG